TTAATATCAAATAAAGCCAAAGTGAGATCTAAATATCCTGACGGAAGCAGTAAGGCCTCTGGAGGCTCAGCGCCGCACAACCCAGGAGGATTAGCATTCTGCCAACACACCACAAGCTCTGTCGCACACTGAGTTCAGCAAGAGGGAAGGCTCACGTTTGATTTCCCAGGCTGCACAGAAAAGGTCTGTGTGAGGAACAGCTCCTCCCTGACCCTCCACAAATCTGATCTGATTCTGACAAGAACGGGATTGTCAGAGAGCTGACAAGGTTCATTCCACTGATAGAAAGCCCAAATCATGCATTAACGGCCTTTAGACACCGTTAAAGGCAGCATTTTAAAATTACTTAGAGTAGAGTGGCATAAAAAGCGGCGTTTTGATATAAAATGTGGGAAAATTGATGTATTTATGGGCAATTTCAGCTTTCCATAGAGCAGAGTAGAGAGACAATTATGGGACGCTTCTGAAAGGCCTTTCTAGAATCACAAGCATAAAGCATAAATCATATAGTCTATTGTGGCCATGTTCGCTCCGGCGCAGACACACCCAGTGGACTCTGGGCGTCATGCGTATAATAGCGTAAATATCTGTAAGTAAAGCCTGTTAGGCAAATTTACATAACGATTCCAAAAATGTCAGCAATTCTTACTGTTATTCAAACATCCCCCCACATAGTCTACTTACAAGTGTCTATGTGAAGTTGTTGTTTTATCTTTTTAATGGGATTGTTTTGTTACATAGTTTTGCATTCAGGAAAAAGGCCCCGCAGAGGTTGTACTTCCTGCTCCAGCTCAGGAAGTACAACCTGCCTCAGAAGCTGCTGATTCTGTTCTACTCCACCATCATGCAGTCTGTTCTCTGTTCCTCCATCACTGTGTGGTTTGGATCGCCCACCAAACAGGACAGAAACAGACTGCAACGGATTGTCAGGTCTGCAGAGAGGATCATTGGTTCCAGCCTGCCCTCCATCCTGGACTTGTTCACCTCCAGAGTCAGGAAATGGTCTGAAAGATCACTGCAGACCATCACACCCTGTTCACCTCCTCCCCTCTGGTAGGAGCTACAGAGCTCTGTACGCCAAAACCACCAGACACAGGAACAGCTTCTCTCTGCCGTCACTTTGATGATCAATGAATCAGTCATACTGCACTACTACCTCTGCTGCACAGTAATACCACAGAGAACAAAAAGCTCACCTGGAACACAAACAGCGCTTCCTTTCATGTGACCTCTGACCTCATTTCCTCCTGCTGTAGCTGAGACATCCATCAGCATTTGGAAGCTGTCAGAACAAACATGAGCCCGAAAAAGAGAAATCAATGTAATGCCCCGCCTGGGTCTGCCGACCCATTGTGGGCTTGTTAGTGTGCAGACGTATGGTGGTCTGCTTTTCAATTCCCTGCCCTCGCTGAGAATCCGTGCCGTCTGGTCTGCTGGCGGCCTCATTAACAACAGGTGGGTGTCTGAGCACACACACGTGTCCAGTAGCTGCGTCTGTGTTTGTGTGTGTGTGTGTGTGTGTGTGTATGTGTGTGTGTGTGTGTGTATGTGTCAACGTCACTGGAAATGAAGGAAGTGAAATGCTCCCTGATCTGGGGGCCGTATCACTACAATAATGACTTCATTAGCCGGCTACAAAGAGCGCTGAAGAATGCCAGTATCAGACTGACTTGGTTGATCAGTTTACAGCTTCTCAGTTAGGCGTAAGAACCAGCATCGCTTTTAGACTGAAGCTGTGCTATAACTGTAGTCTTGACCACTGGACGCTGCTGAGGCCCAGGCCGTATTGCTATGCCCGCTGGAGGGAAGGGAGGCACGGGAGAACCAGAACTGGGCGGAGCAAACCCCTGCTGCAGTAAAATGAGAGGGTTTCTAGAGTGAAACACCACTTTTGTCCACAGAGACCGACAAGTCAATCCAAAATGAAAGCTCCTTATAGTAACTTTAAAACTACATCACCAAGCATGCATGTAGAAGTAAGGAGAATGTTGCTGCAGAAATTGAAACATTGTTACAATTAATTTCTGATGCATCTAGTGCATGGTTTAATTCGAATACCAAGACCTTCAATAAACATGCTACAGATACCAGAGTTAGCCATAAGCTATAATTCTTTACAAACTGAAGAGAACAAAAGGGGATTGCATTCAAAATAACAACATATTATTTTGCTGTGATTGGAGGAAAACACTCCAATTATATGACACCATTTTATATACACATTTTTTTGCAATTCATACTTTTAAATTAATATTTTATGGTTAAACACGATTTTTGAAAATCTTTCTAGATACTTGTGTAAATTATTTAATTGTGATACTTATTGGATGCATTATTTTGGCCGCCTTTCATAAAACTCCAAACTTGGAGAGCACTCTGTATGAAATGAGCTCATTGTGTGAGGAGAGCTGCAATCCTCTAGGGCAGACCTGGGCATTGTACGCTCGCGGGCCACATCCGGCCCGCGAGCTGTTGCCGTCCGGCCCGCAGGAGGTCATTGGGAAATTAGGAATAAAACGTAAATAAGTGCACATCATGCACAGAGTAGAGCTGCATTGCTTTTATTTTGAAGGCGACTTTTGTTGTTTTTTTTCTGCTCAAATGACGTATGTTAGTGAAGGTGTGTGAGCAGCAGCGTCACTGCAATGTGTTGGCCAACTGAGTTTATGGAGATGCGAGTTAGCTGTTAGCCCTCAAACATGTCAGCCTGTGTTAAAAAAGAGAGACTGACACAGAGTGTAGAGTTTTAACAAAACATGGACTTTAAAGTGTTTTTTACTGAAGTCAAAGGTAAAGCCGTGTGCTTAGTTTGCAAAGAACAAGTCGCAGTGTTGAAGGATTACAATTTGAATCGTCATTACGAGAAGAAACACGCGGAGAAATACGAAACATTGAGTGATGCAGAGCGGACACCGACGTCTGAGGCTTTGCTCGCTAAGCTGCTAAAGCAACAAGGCCTTTTTACCAAGCTTCACACATCCAGGGATGCAGCCGCCAACACCAGCTTTGTGACGTCACACACAATTGCAAAAACCAGTCAGCCATTCTCTGATGGGGAGTTTATCAGAGAGTGTTTGGTGGACTCTGTTGCACTACTAGGCCCCCAGAATAAAGAGGCATTGGAGAATGTGCAGCTCTCCAGGCGCACCGTAACGAGGAGGATCGAGGACATCGAGGGACATCTGGAGCTTCAGCTGCAAAGAAAAGCAGACCATTTCCAACTCTTCTCCTTGGCTCTGGACGAGAGCGACACAGCAAGTTACTCATCTGTGTAGGTGGGATAACGAAAGACTTGGTGATTACAGAGGAGCTGCAGCAATGCAGTCAATGAAAGGGACGACGGGGAGTGATGTGTTCACGGAGGTAGATGCTTCCACAAGCTGGGACTGAAATGGGACAAACTGGCACGTGTCACAACCGATGGTTGTCCAAATCTGACGGGGAGAAATGTCGGACTTTTGAAGCGGATGCAAGATAAAGTGACTGAAATCAACCCAGAGCTGAACTTGGTATGTTTGCATTGTGTTATACATCAGAATGTGCTCAAACTTAACCATGTTACTGATGATGTAACTAAAATAGTTGACGTCATCAGGGCACGAGCATTGAATCACAGACAGTGTGTTGCACTCTTGGAGCAGCATGAGACTGAACACAGTGACAGAGGCTAACACACAGCTGTCAGTGGCTCAGCCTGGGCAAAGTGCTTCAAAGAGTTCAGGACCTGAGAGCAGAGATTCAAGAGCTCTGTGAGAAGAAAGGCAAGAACATCCCAGAGCTCTTTGATGTAAGCTGGATGACAGAGTTTGCATTTGCTGTTGATGTGGCTGCACTAATGAATGATCTGAATACCAAACTGCAAGGCAAGGGCCTCTCTGCACATGACATGCAGCCTGGTGAAGGCTTTCATGACTACGTTGCAGGTAACACTCTCACCCACCTGCACACCCTGAAAGAAGCCACACCATCAGTTGAACATCTCCACAGGTATCATCCATGTTAGGGGCACTGCATGGTGAGTTTAAGGCCATTTCAAGACTTCACAACAGTTGAGAGTGAAACATGATGTCTTCTCCTTCACGTGCAGTGTGGATGATGCTCCCAGTGATGTTCAGCTCCAGCTCATTGACCTGCAGTCTGATGCAGTACTGCAGAGCACTTTAAGTCAGTATCACTGCTGGATCTATATTCTTCTCTCAAAGAGGAGAACCTTCCACACATGAGGAGGCATGCTCAGAAGATGTTGCTTCTCTTTGGATCGACCTCCATCTGTGAACAAACATTCTCTGTGATGAAGTTGAACAAATCCAGATCCAGATCCTCTCTCACTGACATCAGCTGTCAGCTGTCCTTCACATCTCAGCTCACACACAGCCTGACTTCAGTCACTCGTTGGAGCCCAACACAGACCAGATTTGTCCACTGAGCTGACGAACAGAAAGAGGTCATTTGTATCGTAATAGTTATAGTAATAAAAGTACTAATTAACAGCAACATGATCCCCGTCGGTGTTCTACTATTATATATGGATATTACAAATGTATATGAGTTTGGATTATTGCTGCTGCAGATGTTTACGGTGGAGCTCATTTTAACTCTTTTATACTCTGTTGGTCAGTTTGTGTAGTTAAAGGTTTGAAACATTATAATGTGCAAAGTAACTAGTAACTAAAGCTGGCAGACTAATGTAGTGGAGTAACAAGTACAATATTTCCCTCTGAGATGTAGTGGAGTAGAAGTACAAAGTTGAATAAAATAGAAATACTCAAGTAAAGTACCTTGAATTTGTACATGATTTAAGCACATATACTAGTTACATTCCACCACTGATCATAACATTTACTCTCACCACTCACAGCTCATCAACACCAAACAACATACTGCTTTATATAAAGAGGTGGAATAACACTGAGCAGGACTGAGTTCAGTCTGTTGGTCCGGCCCTGTTCCTCATGCGGCCCCTTGGGAGAAAGAGTTGCCCCCCCCCCTGCTCTAAAGGGAAGTGGCAGCCCGTTTCACAACTCAACACACTACACGACGTACAAATGGATACAAAACGTCTTTCTGCTGACGGTTCACTGTGTGCGCCGCCATGTTTCTGTGACGTCAGGATTGTTCATTCCGGAGAAGTGGCCCGGGAAAGCTTCCCGGTCCGATTTCCAATTCCCCTTAAACTCATCGCCACTTGTCGCCCACACGCGCATGGGGGAAGTAATCCATCAGGACTTTCTTCCTGCGCGTGCGCATTTCACAGACCAGGAAGCACGCTGCTTCCAGTCATGTGACAATAATACAACTCTCCGTGTGGTCGGTCAGACGCTGTAAAACGTGCAACTTCTGTTTATACTCTTTTTGGTAACTATTTGCAAGGTAAATATATGAATATTAATACAGAACGTCACAAGGAGAATGTAAGCACGTGGGGATAAAGACCACTTTTTAAAGCAGTGCTAAGCTAGCGACATACTGTGTAGTCTGTACCTCATGTATGGTTTTTCCTAAAACATGTCAGCACAGATGGTTGCACATGAATCCGATCTGAACAGGTCCGTGCTCCGCTCTATAATGCCGCCTAACTGTGGCGGACTTAACGCAGGTCTCCCCCGGCTGCTATCGGGGTGAAAGTCCAGCTCGCAGACTGAACGTCGGGTCGTTGGCCTCTGCAGTGTGAACCAGGATGGCTCCGCTGAAGTTCTGCGCGAACCTCTCCTGGCTGTTCACGGAGCTGCCGGACTTCAGCCAGAGGATGTACGCGGCTGCCTCGGCGGGCTTTCGGGCGGTGGAAGCCGGCTGGCTGTACGACTCCGAGCTGCAGGAGCTGCAGAGAGCCAGAGAGGCTACAGGGGTGGAGGTGATCCTCATCAACACCCCGCCCGGTAACGACTGCAACATGGGCAACGCGCGCGCGCACACACACGTTCAGTCAGAAGCTGTTTATTTTTACCAGACTGTACTGATACTTCCATGCGTAATAATGATTAGATGATGATGATGATGATGATGGGAATAAAGGATGAATGTGTTGCAGGAAATGTAAAGGCAGGCGATCTGGGTCTTGGTGCTGTTCCCGGAAGAGAGGCAGAGTTCAGACAGGGTCTGGATCTGGCTTTGAAGTATGCAAGAGCTTTGCACTGCAAAAGGTGAGAGTAAAAGTAACTCTTGTGTTTTCACCCTAAAGTCCCGCCCTGAAAATCAGTGTGCAGTGTAACGAATCTGCATGTGCACACAAGGAAAGAGAGTTTGTACAGCACATTTCAACAACAGGTACTGCAACATGCTGTTTGTGGACCAGGTTTTTATTAATTCTCTCTCTCTACTCTGCTCAGCCCCAAACTGTCCCCCAGACTTTTATGCTGAAAAACAGCCCCAGTGCCTGGTTTCCTCCAGACATGATGCATAGAATTGAGGCCAAACAGTTCAGTCTTGGTTCCACCAGCCAGAGAGTCTAGTTTCTCTCAGTCTGAGAGTCCTTTAGGTGCTAGACTGACCATCGGGTTCTGGGTCACTTCTCTAACCTCTGGTCTCTTGTCTCCGGCCGGGCTACCAGCTGTAACAAGAGTCCTGGTTGTTCCAAACTTCTTGGGGCCACTTTGCTCTCGGGAACCTTCAATGCAGCACAAAGCTTTTGTAGCCTTCCCTTAGATGTGAACCTCCACACATTCCTGTCTCTGAGATACTTTGACCTCATGGCTTGCTTTTGGCTCTGATGTGTCTCAGCTGTGAGATCTTCTACCTACAAGTGTGTGTGTTTCCAAATCATGTCAACTGAACTGCTGGAGGTGAAGAAGCGTCTCTAAGATGAGCTGAGTTTTAAGGGTCAGGGGCAGAAAACAAAGAGTTCAATTATAATCACGCGCCTAGAAACTGTTATTGTTTTTACTGCTGCTGAGACAGATCTTTAAAGCAGAGTTCTTCATATTTGTGTATGAAGTATTTTTCTATGAACTCTTCAGGATCCACCTGATGGCGGGGAGGGTTCCCGCCGGCTCACACAGAAGAGAGGTTAACGAGGAGATGGAGGACATCTTTGTGGAGAACCTAAACTATGCTGCTGATATCCTCTCAAAGGTCGGTGACCTTTTCTGTCCAACATCTCAGCAGGATGGACCAAGAGAAACAGGATTTCTGCAGAAAGATAGTGGGACAGAGAAAGTAGAATGTATATGTAAGATTAAAACATATGGAAGATGTTTAAATATGATTCAAAGTATATCCACTCTGTCCAAATCAAAAGCAAGCGTGTAACATGAGTAACACGCTTGCTACTACTACTATACCATCACACAACTCATCACCTTATCAAAAAGATTTGAATAAATGATTAATAATGCATTTATCTTCAGGATTCAGGATTATTTGATCCCATCGACACTTTCAGGCTTTTATTAGTTTCTGACTCTGAGAAAATACACAACTGATTTAACCAAATCACACACATGTTGGTGATTCTGTGATCTTGTTTTGATAACTAAGGTAATAACTAAGGTAATAACTAAGGTAATATTTGTCTTTACTTCCATTCACTGGGCCTGCCCTGAATCAGTCTTAAAGCTCGGGTGTAGAGAGGAAACGACAGAAGACACGATGACGAGCAGCACAGGCGCTGCATCACACGAGTGTTTCCTTTTCCGTTATGATTTCTCTCTAGAATATTGTGGTATTCATATAGCTGCTGCACTGTAGGCATACAACGTGTCATATTCGATCAGTTAACATCACACCGCCCTCATTGAATGGTTCCTAATGTAGATGACGATGCTCCTGCTCCTCACAGGAAGGAATCACTGGTTTGATTGAGCCAATCAACACGAGGATAACAGACCCCAGGTACTTCCTGGACTCTCCTCATCAGGGTAAGACTCTGAGACAACACCGCCTCTAAGAGTCAAAGTCACGCCAACGAGGCAAATGCAACAAAAGTGTTGGGAAATGATGAAATGTGACCGTAGGAAACACACAGGGTGTTTCATGTATTCATCAGTTATTCATTTCAGAATGGTAAGAGTGTTGATTTGAGAACCAGGAGCTGTCCACAGGAGAACGATTATCAGTTTACGCTCTTCTATTGGTTATTAGATGGTGGATCATTATTTGATTGGGCTTTTCAAATCAGTTATTGTCCAATATCTCAATGTTTATGATGCATTCCAGATGTAGTTGTGATGGGCGGAGGCCTACCGGCTTATATTTCTGACGCCAAACATAAACATGCACAGTGGACATGGTCGATACAACTGAGAAACTCTAAACTACTGTGAGGCAGCATTTATACCATGAGGGGTCGCGTCATATCTAGTCACAACTTTCAACAGCTCTTGAACTTTGGTCCTCATATGAATGCAAGTGTGTGAATGAGGAAATGAATGAGGATGTCCTTTACATGTCATTTTTGATATGACATGTAAAGCTGGCCAGTAATAAGTCATTTAGCCCCATTAACATATTGTGATGCAAGTGCACGGCACATTCTGGAATTTAATGTCAAATGAAACACACCGAGCTCTGCAGAACCGATGCTGCAGATCTTGTTAGTGTCAGATTTCATGTCTGCTACCTGCATGAGTCGCATCTCAGCTCGTCCTCATGTTTGTGTCTGCAGCAGCTGCAATTCTGGAGAAGGTTGGAAAGCCAAACATCAAGCTGCAAATGGTGGGTGCTCCTGGAAAATAAAGGAACGAGAAAAGAGAAGATAGAACTCTGGACGTAACAGATGTGCAAACTGTTTCAGGACATCTTTCACTGGCAGATAATGGATGGAAACCTGACGCAGAACATACACAAGTATTTACCCATCATCGGTGAGTAAGATGATATTGTGATCGAATCCTTCAGCCTTGGTGACCAGTGACCCCATTTCTTCCAGGCATCTTATGTATTTCATCTAAATTCCTCTTTTCATCCCCCAACTCATCTGGTGTCCTTTAGATATGGTGGATTGATATTTACCCTTCATTACAGTCAGTGATCTCAAATGAGTTTATTGATATTATAACCCTGTTGAACTAGGCTGCAACAGATGGTCTGTTCGGGTGACACCTTTTATACTACACACGTTGCTAATGTTAAAGCTGTTCCACACAGAGACACGATCTAAGAGGGTCTGCTTTAGGTTCGTATTTAAATGTCTTCTGGTTAGCGCTGGAGTCGAGCAACAATGACGAACTCAGAGGACGGTGAGTTTAAATCATCCGCCCAAATCAAATACTTCTCAGATTCAGAGACGAGTCCATGTAGCTGTCTTTCATTTTAATGATGTATTGTCTCATCCACCTTTTTTCCATCTTTGCTATTCTGGAACAACTCATCCGCTATTATTCAGAACGTACATGTTTCAGCTACATCTGCTCTCCACGCTTCTTTAGTACCAGTCGTCCACCGCTGGCTGTCAGCTGTTGGCTCGTATCTAGAGGGTGACCCAGTGCGAGAGGGTTGAGTTTGGGGAAACGGCCTCGCGTGGTTGGGCAGCGAGTCGCAGGAGAGTTTTCACACATTTTGCAGTTTTTGTTGTTGCTGTGACTCAGATAATTCAATCAATACGATGTAGAAGACTTTGGATCAGAGACGTGGGGGACTCATGCTGTTTAATCAGTGACACATGCAGCTGTAATGATGAGACCAGAGAGCAGGCTCAGAGCTTCTGGAGCTAATAAAGATGGACTCTTCCTCAGGTCATGTTCAGATGGCTCAGGTTCCCGGCAGGAATGAGCCCAACAGTGCTGGAGAGCTCAACTACAGCTACCTGTTCACCACACTGGAGAACCTCCACTACCAGGGATACGTCGGCTGTGAATACAGGCCACTAGGTGAGTGCTCTTTTTATTCAATATATTATGGCACCCAATTAGAAAATGTATATCTATACATGTTTCTAATGATCTCTGTCCTCTTCAGGCTCCACAGAGGAGGGTCTGGGTTGGATGGAAGATTATGGCAAAACCAGCAAGTGATGAGCAGGTGACCAGTCACAACGCGGTGCACGATTCACCTGCTTAATGGCAGACGTCTTATACGAGTTCACTTCTTCTACCAGGGCTAACTCTCCTCTTTTTCCTCTGAACAGTTTCTAGTGGCCACACAGTGTATTTAAAGTATTTACTGTACTTTGATGTAGTATATTGTATATTTTACTGTTTAAATGACCAGTGGTTCTCTTGCTCTTTGTTATCAAGACACTTTTCTTTCTTTCTCAACTAACATTGGATCAGTTTTTTAATGTATCGGTAAACTATTTGATCATGTATCACTGTCAAAAATAAATAGTGATATCTATCCTAAAAGATGTTGATGAATTCTCTATAAATTGGGAATGTTTGTTGATCATGAAATGTACACATCTCCCCGTTGGTCTTTCTGAAAGTGAACAAAGAAATGAAATGATGCGAGCTCATTGATACAGGTATGGCGGGGGCGTCATCATAGGACATATATCCTAACGGCTGGTCTGATCTTTACTTGAGTTTCAAAGATAAAAAACCTTCCTATTGCTCAAGCAAGTCCTCACCTCACGGCTGTGTTCTATCCCATCACATGGCCCCATCTCATCCCAACTACATCCGTTTAACTGATGATTCAATCAACACTCGCCCGTGCATAGATTTTAAAGCCTTTCAATCATATTTCAGTGTTCATGTTCCCATTTTCATTGGCATTGCCATACAGACATAACAGTGAGGTTGCTATTTTTGTCAGTTATTTTGAGTTTAGGACGGGGCCTCTGCCGTCGTAACCTAGGATGATGGTTCTGGAATAGCTACAGTCCTACTCTTGGTAATAGGACTTGTTTTTCTGAATACAGTTGGGTGAACGGGTTTCCGTAATACTACCTAATGTCACCATAAACTGAGATGAGATAGAGTTTCTGTAATGTTTGATTTACCGATATGCCTGCTGTGATGGTTTATTGTGGAGCTGTAGTTCCCTCTATTCAGAAGCAAAGATGTTCGGAGCATGTGCTCCTCCCTACAGGGAAGTGAAGAGTATGGTTGTAAAGTTAATATACTCCGCATTGAAAGTGAAATTCCACAAAGCGCTCCGTGGGGTCCGCAGCAAAACACCCGCCAAATATGAAGCAGATCAGAGGAGCGCTTCTCGAGATGTGAGAACACACAGACAGATTCCTCACTTTAGAGTCAGAGAGTACGATGTGCTCACCTAGAAACCACCAAACGTTCTCATTCATCCTGCTGCTTTATTGAGCATTTCACATCCTGTATAAAGAGTTCTGTATGTACATCATATACATGATACAGTCAGACAGTGCAGTGTTTGTATTGGAGTCACAATGCTGAGGGCTAACTCCTGACAGTTCACATGATGAATATCCAGTGTTTAACATTCAGACTGAAGTCTCGCTGCTTCACGTCCACAACTGAGCTCAAACATTTGCTTTCCTTCCAGAAAATGTGTAGAAATCCAAAGCTGCCGAGTACGTCATTAATGAGGGGCCTGTGCTCACAATACTGTAGGCTGGCTTCGTGCCCTCTTGTGAATTGGGGTGTGGTTACCAGCCAGCACCCTTCCACAATATACAACACGGCCTCAAACTCATCGCCCCGAACGTGCTTGGGACCATTGGGCTCTGATGACGTGTGGCATGCTATTATACAAATCAGCAGTTCATTTGACACATTTTCCTCCTGTTTCTGCAAAAACCGACTCAGGCACTTTCAGCGCAGAACATCAGGAGTATGTTCACAGAGATCTTCTATGCAGAGCTGATGTTACAACAGCGTCGCTTCAGAGGTTTGGGAATAAAAATAAAAAAGGAGAAAGGCACTTCAGGGCACAAGATATGGCAGTGGCGTTCAAGTGGAGGAAGAGGTTTGACACTTTTGAAAATGGAACATTAAAGCCATCCTACTCTGACGTCCCAGCTGTCTCACTCGCATCAAACACTGAAGAGCTAGCAGGATGCTACGAGAAGGCACACGATCCCAGATAATGAACCAAGCTGTGGAGTATGACACTTGTGCAGAAGAGTTCATTGTTGGGTGCAAACGACTTGTCTTGCGTTATGTTTTGGCATGAAGCATCACAATCAGTAAATCTAAACTGCTGATATACATTTAGGGTAGTTCTCTGTGTCTTCTCTTCTGGCAAAGACCCAAAGGGTTCCTTCACAGTCACGGCGTCACAATGTGTCGGAGCTCAGGACTCCAGGACGTGGTCGAAGACGTAAACCCATCTCATCTACTTTACCACTTTTAGAGCCAATCAGTGAAAAGGTTCTGCGCTCGAGGTCTTCAGACGAACCTCTTCCCTGACAACCCCGAGGACCCGACCCAACAGGGTGTCCGGGTCCACACACAGTGGACCCTCTCAGTTGCAGGTCCAAATCAAACTGCTACGAGAGTTTCATAACATGAGCTGCGACTCGTTTTCTAATCGGCCCGTATTTGTGACAGATGGGTTCGTCATGGGACGTGCAGTTTCAGGCTGGAGGTCTCCTTTGAATGAACGTTATTGAGAACGTCGATGGATAAAACCAAATGAGAACTGTGTGCTAACGTTCAGTGAGCTCCAGGCCGCGGGCCGCTCAGCTCATCCGTACTGTGTGAACGTAGAAGCCGCAGGTTGTAGTCGCTGATTACAACGCGCAGTGTGAGTTAACACAACTTGTCCACCAAACGTTCTGCTAACTTTGCTCAAAGCTTTATATTTTGTCTATATTATAAATGTGAATCCATTTCTTCTGAAGTTAGCAGAGGTGTCCCCCTCCCCCACCTAGTTAGCATGCACTCACTATGTGCACTAGAAGAACTCTACACCTTTGATGTACTTGCTTGTTAACAAAGCGTGCACTTAACTCCCAGCTGCATCGTGAGAGGCATTGAGGATTTAAAGGTGTATCCACTGAAGCAGATCAGAGTAGAGATCATCGTCAGCTGACACTGGAATATCTTCACTTATTCCATCTGGTCATCAATAACTTAAAGGGCCAGTGTGGAGCATTTTGCAGGATCTATTAGCAGAAATGGAATATAATATTGATAACTATGTATCACCTGAACTAAGAATGTTTGTGACTGTGTTATCTCAATGAGTCCTTCATGTTGCAGCGTCATGTTTCTACAGGAGCCCAGAACGGACAAAGCAAACACCGACTCTAGAGAGAGACTTTCATGTTTTTGGTTACCTGAAGGCCACCGTAGTTCTCTGACACACTCGTGAAACTGCGCTAACATTAGCCGTCTGACTTCCGTTGCTCCTTAAGTAGTAGTATTATGGTATGGATGGCCTCTGAGTGAGGCCGGTTGCGTTACCACGGTTTTGCACACTTCGGCTCACGTTACCGCAGTCTTGGAGAAAAGAGGAGCGGAGGCATATTCAGCTGGTTGCAATCTGCAACCACATGGCTAGATGCCATCAAATCCTACACACTGTCCCTTTAACGTGCAAACACATATACTGCCACTGTCCTTCATGGGTTTCATTCCGTATTGTGGACGGTAGCATGGACTTCATCACAGGAACACAGTACACACGGGGGGGGGCATCACACACACTTGAATGCGTAGTTAAAAGCAAGTATATCAGAGGATTAGGCCGATAGTGAACGAGCTGATGGAGGTTTAAACCCACCAGTTAGGAGGCTCTAGTGTGAATCAGGTTTTCTCCAGTGGTTTGGTTCTTGGTTTAGGTTTTTGACGTTGGCACTGACATTAACACAGTAGCGTCCTGTCCTGTCTGATGCTGCTCTTAATGTAGCACTGAGTGGAGCTGCTGGGAGAACATACTGCCACAGAGGATTTTCCCCACATGACCTCGATCCAAAAACTCTACAGACTGCTGCTTCCTGTTTCCATACGTCGGTCAAGATCATGTGGATACGAGTTGAGGTAAGTCCAGCTCTGCTCTACAGCAGACCCGTCCAGAGGTTATAGCAGGCGGTGTTGATGACTGACTCCAGGTGGTGGTACATTGACACCAGCTGGGGAGGAGGGCTGCTGCCGGCCGGCTGCTGCGATGGCAGCGGCTCCCGAAACACGACCTTTAGGCTCTGTAGGAGGAAGGAAACAGTGCTGAGACGTTGGCACTACTACAGTGTAATAATATTACTAATCACGTCGGTGTGATGACCCACTGTTTTTCCAGCCTGGGCGTCCAGAAAGACCAAAACAAAGCAATCAGTGAACTTCTGGTTCAGAACAGCCTGAAAGGAAGACGACAGACGTGGATTAGATGGACATTCAGAAGTAACAAGGATTCATCTTTCTGATCTTCTTCATCATGTTAAACATAAAGGCAATTTTCTTTGGGCGACAATGAAAAGGTTGAATGTTAAAACACAGAGAGAAATGATGGAGCAAACAGGAGCAAGGTGTGCACAGCCTCTGACACGACATAAAGCTTCTCTCCCCAAAGTCCTGTTTGAAAACGTTCTTTTATTCGACACCACAATGTTCCTCAGCACAGAAACACTGGGGTCTGCTAGATAACGGAAGCACTGTTAACTGTAAGCCTGTGTCATGACATTTGGTTATAACATAATATTTATATGTAAGGGTGGTCAAAATGTAAAATACACATCTGCAAATACTATATGTCTAGGGCTTTTATTGTGAAAGGTAGGAAGGTGTAGATCTGGTGTGAGTGATTAACATAAAGATGAACGCTATTATTCCACCGCTGTCATGTTCCTTCATCACCAAGAACACAACGCTGTGCTAACACATGTATGGAGAGCAAAGGCTGCTGCAGGAGCACACAGAGGACACATCTCTAGAGCACAGCGTGGGACTGATGCAAAGTACAAGTGATTGGATTGGCACTAAATACTACACTACCCATAAGTCTTAGCGGCTGTTGCTATGGAGGAGAATCAGAGCTGTTGAGCTCGTCAGGAATGAACGCCGCATCATAGCGGACTCTTTGCACACAAACTATTTAGAAAAACGTGTTAAAAGTTACATCTGACCTCGTCTAAGAGAACGGATAAGAGGGAAGGACAGGAGCGAGAGGTCAGGCTGTTACTGCAGCTCTCTCACTGTCAGTAACTCAGAAGCATCCCATAATTATCCCCCTCAAGATCTAAGTAATCCCTCTAGAGTCCCATCTCACATCTAAACACAGCTCCCTCAGTCCTAACGTGACCCGCACTCTCAATAAAACCATTGTTCACAAGTTTAACATCGCGTAGAAGACAAAGAAATGCTGAGGCCGACATGGAGATGTTACACTTCATCAAGCTTTTGTAAAAGGTAACTGCTGAGGCAGAGCAGGAGCATCGTCTCACCAGGTACTGGATGCCGTTGTCGTCAAAGTGTCTGCAGCTCTGAGGGAAGCGGTTCAGCAGGACTTTGATCAGGCTCTGGTACCAGGCTGGACTCATGGTCAGGAAGCAGTCCTGCAGCGACACATCACACACTGCCGTTATGACTACCATCACAGACTATCTGAGCACAGCGCTTCATTCTGCTCCACACATTCAGTTCAAGTCTAATATCACGACCGTCTGCTTTGCTTTTCTCCAACGGCTGAGCTCCGTGTTAATGAATAGAGTCTGACGCAGCATCATTATATATTGTCATTGATAAATTACACAATGTTTTTAGCATGTACACATCGTCGCAGTCATATAAGCCTCCTATATATTATATATACGCACACATCCAGCTACCTTGTGTGTACACAGAACCACGAGTCAACTAACGCTCGTTCTGCTCATTGTCGACTGAGTTTTGGTTTTTTATGCTTTCTTAAATATCAATGACTTAAAGTTCATCTGTGGTAAACACAGTTTGAATTGGTGCCTTTGTGTGATTTTTTGTGGAGAAACTCAGTTTTCAACACGTTGATTAAATCAACTCATGGATCAGTGGACAGAAGAGGATGGAGTGTGGGTCATGAAGTGTGGGTGTGTCTGTGTGGATGGAGTGT